GGTAGGTCCCAAGCCAGGTAGCACTGGCCGGCCAGAACGGGCTCCCAGCTTCAGAAAAGAAAAAGAAAACAAGCAATTCTAAACAAACAAACAAAAAAAAGCCCTGTGATCCAACCAGCATGGCAGCAGAGACCGGGAAGCAGTTCCACACTTGAATGGAGCTCCACAGCCTCTCAGGAAGAAGCAAAGATGGTGCATGCAGCCAGGTATTTGAGCGAAAGGAGAGGGAGGTGGTGAGGATTAAGGAAGAAATCAAAAGAAGCAGAAAAAAGCAACAGCAGCAGGCAACAAATGGCACTCAGGAAGTCGGCCAGTGCAGTCGGGTGGAATCCAAGCAGCCAGTGCTGAGTGGGGGTGAAAAAGGGTAGGGGGTGGAAAGCGTATATCACCAGTTACCAGTTGTTCTGTCTCCTGCTGGAAGCTCCATGAAGCTGCTTTCTCGTACCCCCCTATTTGCTGGTCTCTGATAGGGGACCTCTCCATGTATGTCTCCTCGCGCTCTGTTCTCTATCAGTTTCTTATTCCGTTTGGTGCATGGCTGAGTTCTTTATCTCTTCTTTTGATGTTTTAGGGTTTCAGGATTGCTGTTTTCTCCTTTTGGCTTATTTTTTCAGATCTTTGCTGTGGAGGGACAGTGTGGTGCTTCTGCCTAGAGTGCCATGTTGCCAGAAGTCCAGTTTTTCCATCTCTTTAAAGAATGTAGTTGGTATTTGGATCCAGATTGCATTGTATTTATAGATTGCTTTGGGTAGAATTGACATTTTCACAATGTTGAGTCTACCTATCTATGAGCATGGTATGTTTTTGCATTTATGTGGGTCTTGTTTGGTTTCTTGTAGTTTTCTTTCTATCGGTGTTTAACATCCCTGGTTAGATTTATTCCTAAGTATTTTTTTTTTTTAGGGGCTATTATAAAAGGTGTTGCTTTCCCAATTTCCTTTTCATAGTTCTCTTTATTGGTGTATAGAAATCCAACTGATTTTTGTATGTTTATCTTGTATCCTGCTACTCTGCTGAATCTTTCTATTAGTTCCCGTAGTTTTCTGTGGAGTCCTTTGGGTTCTCTATGTATAGTATCACATCATCCACAAACAGGGACAGTTTTACTTCTTCCTTACCAATTTGGATGCCCTTTATTTCTTTTTCTTGCCTTATTGCAAACTGCCAGCACAGTGTTAAATAGGAGTGGTGATAAAGGGCATCCTTGTCTTGTTCCCTGTTCTCAGGGGGAATGTTTTCAGCCTCTCTCCATTAAAAATGATGTTGGCTGTTGGTTTTGTATAGATGCCCTTTATTATGTTGAGGAATTTCACTTCTATACCTATTTTATTGAGAATTTTTCTCGGGAATGGGTGTTGGACTTTATCAAATGTCTTTTCTGCATCAATTGAGATGATCATGCAATTCTTTTCTTTTGTTTTATTTATATGGTGTCATGGATTGAATTATGTCCCCCCCAAAATGTGTATATCAATTTGGCTGGGCCATGATTCCCAGTATTGTGTGGTTGTCTTCCATTTTGTGATTGTAATTTTATGTTAAAGAGGATTAGGGTGGGATTGTATAACACCCTTACTAAGGTCACATACCTGATCCAGTGTAAAGGGAGTTTCCCTAAGGTGTGACCTGCACCACCTTTTATCTTACAAGAGACGAAAGGAAAGGGAAGCAAGCAGAGAATTGGGAACCTCATACCACCAAGAGAGCAGTGCCAGGAACAGAGTGTGTCCTTTGGACCTGAGGTTCCTGTACAAAGAAGCTGCCAGACCAAGGGAAGATTGATGACACAGACCTTCCTCCAGAGCCTATAAAGAAAGCGTTCCCCTGGAGCTCACGCCCTGAATTTGGACTTGTAGCCTACTGAACTGTGAGAGCATAAATTTCTCTTTGTTAAAGCCATCCACTTGTGGTATTTCTGTTATAGCAGCACAAGATGACTAAGACATCTGGTGAATTAAGTTGATTGATTTTCTAATGTTGAAGCATCCTTGCATACCTGGTGTGAATCCCACTTGGTCATGGTGTATTTTTTCTATATGACGCTCAATTCCATTGGCTAGAATTTTGTTGAGAATTTTTGCATTTATTTTCATGAGAGATATTGGTCTGTAATTTTCTTTTTTTGTGGTGTCTTTGCCTGATTTTGGTATCAGGGTTATGCTGGATTCATAGAATGAATTCGGAAGTATCCCTTTCTATGCTCTGAAATAATTTGAGTAGTGCTGGTACAAGCTCTTCTCTGAATGTTTGGTAGAGTTCTCCAGTGAAGCCATCTGGGCCAGGGTTTTTTTCTGTTGGGAGTTTTTTTAATTCTCTTTTCAATCTTTGTTATGAGTCTGTTCAGATTTTTGACCTCAGTTTGTGTTCATTTAGGTAGGTTGTGTGTTTCCAGAAATTTGTCTGTTTCCTCTAGGTTTTCAAATTTGTCAGAATGTAGTCTTTCATAGTAGTCTGTTATTATTCTTTTTATTTCAGTTTGGTCTGTTGTAATGTTCCCCATTTCATTTCTTATTTGAGTTATTTGTGTCCTCTCTTGTTTTTCTTTTGTCAGTTTGGCCAATGGTATGTCAATTTTGTTGATCCTTTCAAAGAACCAACTTTTGGTTTTGTTGATTCTTTCTATTGTTTTTGTATTCTCTATTGCATTTATTTCTGCTCTGATCTTTATTTTTTCTGGTGGCTGTGGGCTTCTTTTGCTCTTCTCTTTCTGTTTGTTTGAGTTGTATGGCTAATGTTTTGACTTTTTCCCTTTCTTCTTTTCTGATGTGTGCATCTATTGCTGTAAATTGACCTCTGAGCACTGCCTTTGCTGTGTCCCAAACGTTTTAGTATGATGTATTTTCATTCTCATTTGATTCTAGGAATTATTTGATTCCATTTCTGATTTCTTCTATTACCCAGTGGTTTTTAAGCAGGGTGTTATTCAGTTTCCATGTATTTGATTTTTCTCTCTTGCTTTTACTGTTATTAACTTCTACTTTTATGGCATTGTGATCAGAGAAGGTGCTTTGTATTATCTCAACATTTTGGATTTTGTTGAGGGTTGCTTTGTGGCCTAAGGTGTGGTCTATTCTGGAGAACATTCCATGTGTGTTGGAAAAGAATGTGTACTTCGCTGCTGTTGGGTGGAGTGTTCTATATGTGTCTATAAGGTCAAGTTGGTTGATTATGGCCTTTATATCTTCTGTGTCTGTGTTGAGTTTGCTTCTAAATGTTCTGTACTTTACCGAGAGTGGTGTGTTGAAGTCTCCTACTATTATTGTGGAACTGTCAGTTTCTCTTTTCAGTGCTGTTAGAGTTTGTTTTATGTATTTTGGAGCCCTGTCATTGGGTGCATAGATATTTATTACGGTTATGTCCTCATGGTGGATTGTCCCTTTAATCATTATATAATGTCCTTCTGTGTCTTTTATGGTGGATTTTGTTTTAAAGTTTATTTTATCTGAGATTGGTATTGCCACTCTTGCTCTTTTTCGTAGCTGTTTGCTTGATATATTTTTTCCATCCTTTGATTTTTAATATATTTATGCATTTTCCCCAATTTTAACATCTGTAAATTCTCCCCAATACCTACAGTCACAGAATTTTAGAACTGTAAAAGTGTTGAAGCCTGCTATAAAGATGAGGAAACTGAGGTCTATAGATAACCATGGCCTCTTTTCCTGTCATCTAATAGGCCAGACAACATTGCTGGCACCTTGTCACCTCTCAAACTTTAAAACTAGCATCAAAGTCCCCAGCAACTGTGGCTTTGCTTTTGACTGAGTATAAAATAAAACCAAGCTTGTAGATATGACCTTATTTATATAGAAGATGGTTCAAACCTTTTTTTTTTTTTTGCATTAGAGAAATTTATGTAGGTGTATTATTTTTAAAAATTACCTAAGACAAGTTATGCTGACCCTGAGACCTGCTTCCTGTGTGATTCATTGTGGGTTACTAAGTGATTGTCCTTGAGGGTATTACAAACATGAGCTTTTATTTCCTGCCAGTTGATTGCATCTTCCCTCTAGAGAGTCATACTTCTAATCTGCAAATGGCATTGTGTATCTTTTTTCTAAGATCTGAGATAACAAAAAGCATCTTTAATTATTAAAACTTTATCATTTGTCAGCTTACTGTTTTTAATAAAAGACAGAATTACCAGGTATCTTTTTTGTTTTGTTTTTACGAGGTCAGCAGTACATCTCTTTTAGAATTCCTTAGGTTTTCAATGGATTTTCTCTTTAAAAAGTGATTTTTTTTTCCTTTCTATATATTCCATGAATTTAGTCGACAGCCGCCGCCACCAACAGTATGTTGACCGAATAAATGGCTTGTATTTTTTGTTTTATTGTTGCTTTAAGTTAACTTTCATTAACAACCACAAAACCCATCGTCTGTCTTTAATCAACTTATTTTCTGACTTACATGGTATCTATCTGGACAATAGGGAAATCATGGTGCCACATTCTAGTTTATGACACCTTTGTGATCACGTGACCTCTGGTATTTCAACTCTCAACACATGAGAGAGTTATAGCCCCTGACCACCTTTTTTTAGAGTATTTGCCCTAAAAAAATTCCCTACCTGCATAAGTTTTATTTTTAGTGACATAGTTTGCCTCTAAATTTTTAATCTTCAAATTCTTTCCCCAAGGGGCAGAGAATGTGACCTCCACAACTGTTAAACTATATAGTATATATTTGTTTATGCTTTTCTTTTCCCTTTAAACAGGAGCGGTAGTATTTTAAGTCCTTGCCTCAGAATCATTGTCCTAAATGTACTCTTATCTTTCAACAGTGCAATCCATTCATTTTAAATGCAATTATTTTTCCTTTTTTTATAGGATACTACAGACTATGTTGCCTACGTAGCTAAAGATCCAGTTAATCAACGAGGTATGGAAAGCAACTTCTAGATTTCTTAAGAGCTGGCATATACCAGCTTTAAAAAGTATTAAGCTGTTACTCTCAACATACAGAATGATGAGGATCACTACAGTGCTATATTGGGTTCTAGAAATATGTAAATTTGAGGTAGAAATAAATAGCCCTACTAGCAGAGCAAAGTAGAAAAAAATATATAGATGAGATTTAAATCCCAGTCATTTGAGAGACCCACCAACCAAAAGGCTTATTACCTATTATAAAAACGGTGTGGTGGCAGTGTCTGACCTCCTCCAACTTCACAAGGGGGAAGGAGAATCAAGATCAACAGCCCAAAGCTGATTCCTATGAGGCAGGGGTCAGATATACCTCCTTTCTCTGCCATCTTTACCAATTCTGATACCAACTGTCTCTCCTATAGCACTCTCTATTGGGTTTGATAATTCATTGCAATGGCCACACAGAACTCACAGACCATACTCATAATGGGGTTTATTAGGGAAGTAACAGTTACAGTTCAGGCTCAGGAGCACTCAAGAGACAATTCTTCCATCAGGATAGCCTCTTCCCAGCCATGCTCGAAGGCACGCCTCTCCCTGGCCCTCAGTCTCTGCCGCGAGGGACTCAGCTTTCTCTCTCCGTGCACTGGGATGCCTACCACGCCGTCTCCTGCTGCCAGATCTCTCCTTCCTTGGTAGTGGTCTTCTCCTCCCTGCTCTGGAATTGACTCTCTTTTAAGGCAAAACTGACCAATCCCCTTGGTAGGCCACAATTACCCTATCACACAGTCACCTGGGTAGGAGTTACAAGACCATGGCTAGAAAGACCACACACAAAAGTAATTAATCACACCACACCTATTCGTATACTCAAAAGAGAAGCTACTTTGGTTGTGGTAGAAGGGTAGGCTGCCATGTTCCCAGTGGACAAATGAGCCAACCCAGTGAGCTTATCTATCTGCATTGGTCTAAGCAAGTGTTTACGTGTATGCGTGTGCACGCGTATGCATGCGCATGTGCACGTGAGTGCATGCATATGTGTTGAGCTTGTGTACTTGCTGTACAACAGCCTGGAATGTCACTTTGAGTATTTGCTTCTTCTCATCTTTTGGACTTCAGCTTAAATGTCTTTTCTTCAGAAAGGTTTTCTTTGATAGCACCTCTTATCCCTAGTAGCATATTCCCCCCATGCTCCATAATAACACCTTCTTTTTTTTCTAGTAACAGTTATCCCACATTTTTATTATTTTATTTATTCACTTGTTAGTGTGTTTAATGTCTGTCCTTCCCACTAGACTGAAAGCGCCACGAGGGCAGGAACTTGTTTATCTTGTTCATTGTTATTTCCCAAGCACTTATCACAATGCCTAGAACATAGGTGATGCTCAAGAGCTATTTTGTTGAAAGACCAAGTGAATGGAAGAGTGAGTTGATTGGATTGCGCATCCTAGGATTTATCAAGGTTGCCCAAAAAATTTATCTCCCAACTCACTTTGGATCAAGACCTGAGGTTCTCAGGTCGTTGGATCTCTCTAGACAGACATGGTTGGTATTTTTTCTCTATTTCTAACTCTGGAAAATTCAGAATCTTCTTAGGAATGAGTATTTATTATTATTATTTGGTTCTCCTCCTTCACTAGAATCTCTTAGTTGGGCAGTATCCTCTGCCACTCCATGGATGAAGTTTTTCCAAAAACGTTTAGTAAGCACACGTGGAGTGGGACTTAGAAATGCAAAGAGCTATAAGACACAGAAGTGGAAATGCACGTGGCTGGTTGGGAAGCAAATGAATGAACACACTACAATGTAGACCAGCATCATAGCAACATGCATTCCCCCACTGACAGACAGGTGGTGGCAATGCTTGAGGTGCATTGGCCAGAAATTGAACCTGGTTCTCCAGCGTGGGAGGCAAGATTTTACCACTGAACCACTAAGGCCCGTTTAAGGGCATTGGCCAGGAATCAAACATGTGTCTCCTACGTGGAAGGTAAGAATTCTACCACTGAACCCCCAAAGCCCTCTTGAGGGTAGATAGGAGAGGGCTAATAAATAGGGACATAATCCTCTGGGCAAATGGATGGAGAGAGCTGTTTACAAAACAGGATTTAGGAAGATTGACTTGGCAGCAGGATGCAGGTAGCTGGATTCAAGGAGAAATTTAAGGGAGCAAGGTCCGTTTGGAAGCCATTGAGATAGAAACAAAATGATGAGGCCAGCTGCAGGCACAGAGCCTGAATCATAGTAGATGCTCAGTAAATGTTTGCCAAAAGAACATGGCCTCGGTGAGCTGAAAAGGAAGGACAGGTAACAAACACTATGCAACACTCCATTGAAATTGACTCTTCTAAACTAAATAGTGAAGAACAGATAGGAGTCAAAGAGTGAGTAGGAGAGGCAGGAAATAGTGAAGGGGAACGGGGGCGGGCGTAGGAACAGAACATAACAAAGCATACCAGAGAAGAGAAACTTCTTTTAATCACTGCCTAAGCTTCCCTAAAGAATAACTGCTTGCTATTTGGGGGAAAGGCCTCTCAACAGCAAACCTTTTCTCTTAGCATGAAAAGGACAGTGAGAGGAGGGAAAAATGCATCAGGAAATCTAGATGTTTAGTAACTTTACCAATATTCCCTGAATATCTCTGGGCACAGCATGTCATTGCTCCTCAGTACATGGCCATGAGGATTTCAAAGATTAACACAGTTGCTGAAGGTAGTGACTAAGCAGGAGCCACATGCTTGCAAATCTCCCCCCTTGCTTAAATGGAACAAGAAAGCCAGAGAAAATCATGATGAAGCACCTTCACTTTGAAAGCTCCCATTCTGGTGCCTGAGTAGTTTGTCAAACTGGGGCTGCTTGAAGGGAGTTCAAGGTGATCCTGGCCTGGGGATTCTGAGGAGGCATTTGTTGAGTGAAGTGGGATCTGAGGGACAGGAAGAGAATGGACTCCGAGTCCTAATAGAGGTTTCAGTTATTTCTTTCTTAGCCCTCAGCCTGTATATATGAAGTAACGTAGATGCTGGAGCCAGGCAAACTGGCTTGGAATCATAGTTCTTCCATCATCTCACTGTATAACCTCAGGCAAACTGTTTCACATCCTTGAACCTGAATTTCTTTATCTTTTAAATGGAAATAATAATATGTACTTCCTGACATAGACCAATGGAATAGAATTGAGAGTCTAGAAAGAAACTCACATCTATGGTCAGCTGAATTTTGACAAGGTGCTAAGTCCATTCGATGGGGGAAGAAGAGTCTCTTCAATAAATGGTGTTGGGAAAATTGGATTTCCACATGTAGAAAAATGAAACAGGATCCATACCTCACACCATATACAAAATAATATTTACCTCCTGGTGTTGTTGGGAGGTATAACTGAGATAATGCTCACTTCCTTCCCTCCCTCATCTCATCTTTCTTTCTTCTTTAGGGAAAAGGATTTATTGAGTAGATGGATGACTTAGGATAATTTTTTTGGATTAAAAAGTTAGCATTTCCCCATCACTTATTTCTCCTTTTCCTGACCCCTTTCTCCCCTTGTTTATTTCTCTTGGTTATAGAAGCCTATGCAAGAACCCACTTTGTTCTCAATGAACCTCCGCTTGCAATTGTGAAATCTTTTCCACTCACCTGAGCCCCTGGGCTTTAATTTCTGCCCAGAAGTATGGACATGACTTCCAAGTCCACAAATAATGATTAATTTCATACTAATATGCAAGGCACTGAGCTAATTATTGTGGAAGAAAAAGAATCCCTGGCCTCCATGACTCACTGTTTAGTGGGAGACATAAACATAACTCATTGTACAGAGAAGGAGGGTATCTAGAGGACAGTGCCTGGGAATAGTAGGTACTCAGTCAGGATTTGTGGAGCAAATGGTATAAAAGCACAGGTGAAAAAAGCACCATAACGAGAGCTTAGGGCTATGTGTTTGGATGGTGTGTGTGTGTGTGTCTGTGTGCCTGTATGTAAGGGTGAAGAAGGGAAAGAGTAGAAATAGAGGAGCCATGGCTGAAAAGATGGGTGGGTCAGAAACTGATTGTGGAGAGAGGGCCTTAAATGCCAGCCAAAAGGTCATTGGGAGCCACTGAAGATTTTGAGCTATATAAAAATTATTCTGGCTCCTGCCATTCTACTAAAGTTGTAGAATGGTCGTTTTTCTGGCAGTTATGTCTGTAAAAGTGATCTTAGAGGGTGGAAATGCAGTATGGAGTTGCAGAGTCCAAACTGGAGGATGTGCGTTAATCCTGAACAGAGGTGGAGATGTTCTAAACTGCCATGGGAGAGAGCAAGGGACAATTTGGACCAAATCTGTGAATTAATAGTAGTTTGTGATTATTTAGATATGAGGGAAGATGTTCCTGAGAACTGAATGGATATTGCTTGCAAAGTAAGTATTTTAATACCTGGCTCATAAAAACCCGTTGCTGTCAAGTCGATTTTGATTCATGGTGACCTCGTGTGTCAGAGGAGAACTGTGCTCCATAGGATTTTCAGTGGCTGTGATCTTTCGGAAGCATATCACCAGGTCTTTCTTCCAAGGCACCTCTGGGTGGATCCACACCTTCAAGCTTTTCAGCCAAGCATGTTAACCATTTGCACCACCCAGGGACTCCTCCTGGCTCACGTTGTTGTTGTTGTCAGGTGCCGTCAAGTCGATTCCAACTCATAGTGACCCTGTAGGATAGAGTAGAACTGCCTCATAGGGTTTCCAAAGAGCAGCTGGTGGATTTGAACTGCCGACCTTTTGGTTAGCAGCCGAGCTCTTAATCCCTTCACCACCAAGGCTCATTTAAAAAAAAAAAAAAAAAAAAAACCCTTTGCCATCAAGTCCATTCTGATTCATAGCAACCCTAAAGGACAGAGTAAAACTGCCCCATAGGGTTTCCAAGGAGCACCTGGTGGATTTGAACTGCCAACCTTTTGGTTAGCAGCTGTAGCTCTTAACCACTGCACCACCAGGGTTTCCCAGGGTTCACAGTAAATACTAAATAAATGGTAGCTATTATCCGT